AATAATTTATCAATTTGGTCTTTATAGACCTGATTTCAAAAGCAGATCTAAGCACTACCTGTAACATTATGCAACTAAGTTGACAAAATCAAATTGATAAAATATTTATGTTAGTCATAATAGTAGAAAAATAAATTAATTTACATTCTTACATGTTTTTTAACACAGCCTGTTAACCCTGAAGCAGATTTATATTGTTAAATTTTTTAAAACTTAAATTTTAGACACACAGATACATATATATTCATTAAATATGTCATATAAACATATTTTCATATACTTTTCATTCATTAAATATACCAAAATTTTTTTTTATTCTTTAAAGAACTTCAAATTCGATCACCATCATTCAGGTAAAAAAAATCAGGTTTAAGTGTGTAAGATGAATATCAAGATGCTAAACTCAAATTGAACCCATCACATTAAAAAAATTGCATTATTTCACATATAAAAAGTGAAATAAAATATGTGATTATGTTTAGCATGTTAATACTAGCATGCATCTCTGGCATTTTGTGTTTTTTACAACAAAGCTGCACAATGGGCTATTTGTTGCTCTGTCTATTACAGAGAATTGAATCCCAGATTTTAGCATTGTGAACTTACACCTAAAGTACACGCATCTTTTTGTACGTGTATTTAAATGTATGTATGAGAAAAGAGAGAGGGGCCCAATTAAATCAGCTATACTAATTACTTTTTTTAACTTTTAAGTTGTGAGTTGCTGTAGGTAGTTTTGATGAGAAATTAATGATAATTACTTAAGCCAGAACTATTTGCTTACCATATCTAAAACAAACTTCAGATTTAAAAAGACAGTTTTAAACTGTGTTCTATGAAATGTCATGTTGCCAAGTATCCTTATTGTGGATAGTATTTTGATGACACTTATCAAAGTGAATTTGACAAGAACAGGGGTCACATTTTTCTTCAGATTAAACATTTTAGCCATTTAAGTGAAAAAATAATTTTATTTTCAAACTAAAATTTTGGCTTTTTTAATTTGTTTTTTTCTCCTAATAAACTAAACACTAATTGGTCTAAAACACGATCCAATTACTACTGTCTAGTAATATCTAAGCTTTATAAGCTCCTAAGTTGCATATATTTCTTGCAAAAAGAATTTAAGATTGGCACAATCTGTAGTGAGAACATAATTATAATGTGAATTTACAGTGTATACTACCAATAACAATTCTCAAAGACTGTGTATATGATATAATAATAAATTTATCAATACAGATGTTTATTAAAAACAAACTTCATCATATAAACTTTTAAAAAACGGATCTTGTTAAAAAATGTGCATATTACATGACTCATGAATGATTTGATTTTTACAAATATATATTTTTATGTGTGTACAGTATTGGAAATTATGGAAAAGCAAAGGTAATACACATATATGGATCACAAACAAATAAATCACTAGTAAAATACATTAATACAGAATATGCAAAAGAAAAGCAAATATGTTGTCAATTGCTCTAGTATTTTGAATGTTTTAAAGAGACTAGAACACTATATCTTTTACTAACATAAACTAATGACTGTCAAATATTGTTTCATATGTCCTATAACACTCTCTACAATTCATCAAATGTTAACATTTTCCTAAACTGAAAATGTATGTCCGATAGATACTTACCTCCTCTCACAAAATAGATTTTCTCAATCAGTAATGTCCTCTATCAATGCAAATTTTCGATGCTCGCCACTAGCTTTCCACTTCCAACTTCTGCATATCCACAAGTAAGTGATTATGCAGCAGCTCTCCACTAACAGGAGTGCGACAACCCCTATCATAACCAGCACCCTCACCACTTAAAATTGGTCATAGTACCTACATTACATATCACTGGAAGTGGGGAGGATAAGTCGGAAGTGTGAAAAGAGGTACGTATCTATGGGAAAGACATTTCAGTTTAGGAAAATGTTAACTTCCGATATATATATATAGCTAGAATCCTACATTGAACTGGTGGAGAGCTGGTGAAAAAATGATCCCCCTTTAGGAAGTGCCCAAAGAGAGACCATGAGGTGTGGAACCAAAAAAGTAAATATCACATCTCAGTGGGAGACCAAACCACATCTGATCCAGGTATACTATTTGCCCTTTTATAACTGTGTCAGAAACATAAAAGGTGGAAAAACATGAAGGAATCCCATAATACGTATTCCCTATTAATGGGACTCCTTGGCCTGTAGGTGGGAAGGCAGGGTAATAGGAGCAACTAAGGGATCCCAAATGAATCTCCGTTGGTTGAGTAACACCCACTGAAGATGACGCACGTGGGTGTGACCAAGGGGAATGAGGACTTTGAGAGAAGCCCATGTCCCCAAAAGAGATATCGTCCTCTTCCTCTCCTACTGGACAAGAGGCCCCAAGACTGCGAACAAGACGTTCCATATCCCATAAACAAAGGGGAGAAGGCTGGGCCCGGTTAATGAGGTAATTGAAAAACACACCAGATGAATCAGATATTGTGTGGGTGTGAGAAATGACTTCTCCACCTTGATGAGCCAACTCCCTCTGGCAGTATCTCTTGAAGTATCTGATTATGAACAGCAGATCTGACCTGAGAGGAAGCCAAAAGTAGCCAGCCATCAATGTAATGGTGGAAACGAAGGCCTCTGGCATAAAGCAGTTGAGCAAATAACCTGACTACTTGGCAGAAGGCATATGAGCCAAAACCAAGCCAAATGGTAAAGCCTGAAACTGATAAACATACACCTGATAAATAAAACGGATGAAATGCCGGGATGCCTGGGAGATGGGAATCTGAATCATCCATATCCCAGTAGTGAAAACTCACTGAAGAGTTAGGTGAGACTCCATTGTGAAATTGGGAATGACCAAGAAATGATTCATGGGTGATAAATCTATAACCAGTTTCCAATCTCCTATCTTTATGGATACAACCAACAAAAGGGAGTACAACCCCAGCTGAGAAGGTTCCCCAAGTTCTATAGCCTCTTTCCAAAATAAGTCCCGCACTGTTTCCTATAGATGTTGGTGAGAAACAGGATCCCTTGGTGGTGGTGGGGGTAATGAGGAGACAATGGGCTCCCACTGGCCTTAACTCTGGTGCAGAGTCACATATGCTGTAATTCTATGAAATGCCTTCGAGTAACAACTCAACTGCGAATGGATGAAGAAAAATAAGCTCCAAATGGCAGAGGGTTGGATGGAGGGGGGGCGAAGATGAAAGGTGTGCTATTGTAGTATACAGAAGACCGCGAACATCATCTGAAAACCATTCAGAAGACAAGTGACTTGCCTGAGCTAGCAAATGCAGAGTCAAAAATGCACCCAGAATTGTGGGCAATATCAGTCTGATATGGGGAAATTTAGATTGATAGAAATTCATCGATGCATAAGGGTTCAAACCTCACAATGTAATGCATGATTCCAAATGTTGGGAATCAAGATACGGGAAGGAAGATCTATGAAGTGCATAAGCAAGATCTTCAGTCTGATTTGGGAAAACTGAGGTTGAGAGAAATTCACTGATGCATAAGGATTCAAACTTCACAATGTAATGCAAGACTCCAAATGTTGGGAATCAAGATAAGGGAAGGAAGGTCTATGAAATGCATAAGCACAATCTTCAGGTGTAAGAGGCAGATGAGGCATACTAACCCCGACCGAAATTGATCCCCCCAAAATGCTGGGCATGAACCCTAACATCAGGTGAGGGAGGGAACACTAAATATTTGCCCATAGATTCTTCACCAAGGAAGGCAGGTTGAGAATCGTAGGAAATAGGAGATAAATATAAGACAGTACAAACTTAATTAATAAATTCCACAAAGGGTAAAGGAGGTCTGGATAAATCCCTAGATATCCCTCATGACTGTGAAACATAATTGGGGGAGGGGGGAATATGCTGTCCCAATTTTTGTCCTCCCTGTCAGACACGCAAGGAGCAGGCATAACAGGATATTCCTCATGTAGTGGTGAAGGTTGCACGAAGGAGGGCATTTCTCATTCATTAATTGCTGTCACATCCTAGGCCAATAATGGGAGTACTCAACCCGATAGTATTAGTTGGGAAAACCGCAGCAGCAGTAACAGCTGTGGTAGGTGTAACTACCTGAAACTGCGAGCGCATAGTGACAAAGCCCAAACTTCAAACAAAAAAAATATGAAAAAGTAAGAAAAGTTGGAGAAAGCAACCTTTCACAATTCAAAAATGTGAAAAAGTAAAGATATATTAAAGAAAAGCAAAGTCAGTACTATAAAGGGAAAAAAATTGACAAATTTGCAAGTAAAAAACATTATGGCTGTACAGTACTACTGCCAATCTAGAAGTGATTAACGAGTGTAAATGTGTATAGTGCATTGGTTTTGACAGGGATTGTGTCACACTCCTATTGGTGGAGAGCTGCTGCATAATAATTTACATGTGGATATGCAAAAGCGGGAGGTAGAATGCTAGTGGCGAGCATTGAAAATTTGTGCTGATAAAGGGCATTACTGATCAAGAATAGCTATTTTGGAAAAGGAGATAAGATATCGTATCGGAATTGTTTTGTTGCTTCTTGACCTTCTAAGTTAACATATTAGCCCATAAAGGCTTAATAATATTCATATCATGACCTTGTGTAAGCAAAGTATGGTACCGAATGTTCCATTAGCCTCTTTACCTCCAGGTATTGTTTCATCATATTTGCAGCACTGCTTGGGATCACCGTCTTGCTTGAAGATAAATCCTTGTTCAACAGATCTTGTTCCCAATGGAATGTCATGATGAAGAATCTTCTACTATGTCAGTAATCAGGGTACCATAAATTTTGGGTAGAATTCCAACATCACTAGCCAAGATGCAGCACACGCTTGTATTGGTCCCCTGGCATGCTTCACTGTACATGTTGTTGCCATGATATCATTCTCCTCTCTTCCATTGAATAAACTATCACTGATTGCTGACAAATCACATATTTTGGATTTATCTATAAAGAGTACACACCCTCGCCTTCGTTCATCCCATTATTTTAATTCTGATGCCAATTTCAGTTTTTTGGTTTATCTCTTTTAAGCAATTTTTGTAGAGCAAGTACACATCCACAGAGAACACTTTGTGCTAATGTGCATCTTTCAGTTCTGAAAGTAACATTCACACTTGTATGTATAGTCATGTCAGTAGCGGATCTCTTCATGATTGATGTGCATCACAAAGAGCACACCCTGAGCTACTTACCATCAATTGTGAAGAGTTTGTGCTTTCTGTCTGAACTGCTTCTATTATCAATACTATTACTTTCACGTACTGTTTTCAGTTTCCATATAGTTCTTACTTAAACATGAACTTTCACTTCATTCTGTCACAAAGATTCCACATCTTTATGATTTGAGATTTCTGTTCTTGGTGCCACTAGTGCAAAAGCCATACTACTGCTGGGAATAAATGTGACTGCTCATACTTTGATTGGTTGGATGACAGACAATCACAGCATAAACTATCAACATATGATTGTAGTGCAGTTCATGTTCATAAAAGAGTGGGGTAGCAATAACATAATATTTACATTTCAACCAATTTCTTCGCTTTTCCTTAATCATTTCCAATACTGTATTTTTGATTCAATCTTTACCCGAACCCAGTAAAGCACAATTAACACTTATCCCAAGTAAAATTTGTCAATGATAAAAAATATTCTTAAAAGTTATGGTTTAAATCCTCAAAGCTGGAAAAACATTGCAAACCAACAGGCCTAAAAGTTGTGATAAAAATCACACAAACTGCATGTTTTTTTCCCCCACATTCTTATTAGTTTGTCCATTTCATATTCAAACCAGACTTGTTGGAACGTACGAGTTTAAACCACAACTTTTAAAGTACTATACTGCATATATAAATGGCATTTCACAGAATCTTTTGTCTCTCATCACCAGCCCAACTGATAAGTTCCAGTATTGAAAGAAAGCCCTCTTGGGCATCGACTTGTGGGAGATAAAAGATAGATCTGAAATACATTAATATGCTTCTGATTTTGAACCTGAAATGTAGAAATTAAGAGGAAAATGAAAAAACATCTGCAGTTTACACGATTTTTTTATCAAAACATATTCCTGTCGGGTTAATAACACAAGAAATAAACTGTTTGACAACTCAACAAAAACTTCTGATCTACTGAACAGACATTCCTGAGCTTCCCTTTCAACAAACAGTAGCAAATGTCATTAGATTCATTACAGTCAAATGCATCAACAAATATATAAACATCTTTAAAGAAAAAGGAAGTGAACATCTTAAATCTGGGACACACTCAACCACAGCTTCTGACACACAAGTCTCCACCAACCCCATGTGTTTATTAATGAAAAATTACAAACAACTAAAAGACATAAAAGCCAAAATATGATATTCCCACAGTTTTAGAAGTTGATTTTATGAAAACATTTTCATTTGATTATGAATTTTGTAACTTTTCTTTTGAAATAAAAAAAACATATAAAAGCCAGATTAAGCTTGAAACAAAACGATAAAAAAAAGCACCCCCCAAAACTGACGGGTGGAGGAGACTTTGTAGTATCACTCACATCTTGGTTAAAAATCCTCGCTCTTGCCTTTTCATATTCCTCTTCTCTTTCTTCAAATGATTTGCTCTTTTTGCTGTCAAATGATGACTGTCTTTCAGGGCTCTTCATGTTCAAAAATATTTAAAACAGACCAAAAGAGGAAAAACAATTAAGACAAACTGCTTTATTACATTGTCAGTATCCACATAACCTTTTACCATATCCCCAAAGAACAGAAAACAAAGACATATGCTAGTGCAGTTACAAAACAGAAAAAATTATAAACAGTAAATCCAAACACTATTTGTTCTTTCTAAAAAGGAAAAAAACTTCACATGTGGAGAAAAACTTAAAGAAGCAATAACTAGCCAATAGCACACATACACATCCACATTTACCCAAATTAATAAAAAAATTAAAAACAATGGCTTGTTTATTTACTGAGAAAAGTAACAATTCCATCTATAAGCAAATCATGTACTATTTTAGTTAAAGTATAAAACATTATCCAGTCCGTTTTTCACAAACTTACCCTATGAAAAAAAAAAAAAAAACTAACTGAACAGCAAGCGGATAACGATTTTTATTCTTGTCATTGAAGACCAAGTTTGGGGCTGCTCATAAATGAATACATACCCAAATTTTTACTAAATTATTATACACAAAAATTTTAAATAAGCTGAAGCTATTCAAATTATTTTCCAAACACATCACAACAAAAAGAGCCAAACTTATGATCTCTCACAACTATTAAGTGTTGACTAATAAAATCAACGTACATAAAAACAAAAAAAACAGTTTGGCCACGAGAAAAGTTTTGCAATATTTCGGAAGTTTAAAAGTAAGAAATCTTTTTGCCATATCACACAACAGGCAAAGATGATTAATCACTGTTAATCTAAGCTACTTTTATGTATATTTTGTTATAAATTATTATATATTGCCATTAGAACTTCCACGAGAAGACATCGTGAAAAACTGTGCAAATTGTCCTACCTCAACTGTGAAATTTTCCTACCTCTTTGCCTTCTTCAAAAGATGCACTGTCTCGTTTTAGAATAGACTTCTTTGGCTCTAAAGGCATTAGCTCATCTCGTATGTGATCTCGAAACTTAGCTTCAGGTCTGGAAAAAAAATCAATTATCTTTAAAAAAAATAGCTCAAACATTCACCAAGTTTTCTTTTTAAAACAAACATTCATCAGTAACCTTCCTTTTAAAACTCAAACTCTCATCAATACCCTTCCTTTTAACTCTCTCGCTATGGATAGGTCAAAATGCATGTCACAACCTTTTAGAGTTATATTCAAAATTTAATTAACCTATTTTATTATCAGTGTATACAAATAAAGTTGGTGCTAAAACATAGCAAATAAATCAAATTTTAATATAAGTTTTAATGTCTTAGTTTTATAAGGGAATATTTAAACAAATCCTCAATCTCCCCTAGTCTGAGAATTGTGAGTGTTCTCTAGGTCATCCCCCCTTTTCTAATGTATTTACCACCTCTCTATGAAGTAGGGATTGTAACATAAGTTACACATTATAATATAGATAATACTAGAGCAAAGTCTAATATTTATAGCCTTCAATCTTCTTTACTTACATTCTTAAACTACAAAATCAGACTCTTTTGCCATGCCCACCTGTCACATGCTTTCTTTCACAAACAGTCAATAATTCTTTCTGATGTTTTATATTACATCATTTATAACTAATAAAAAGACCAATTTTTAATCTATCAAATGATGAATTATGATGCATTGTTATCAGTACAGAGTATTGCCAATTTCATCTTCAGTTTGAATGTTTATCTTGCAGTGTTCAGACCATAAGCCCCTTTTGTCTTAGTTAGAAAGCCTGTTAAATTATAAGTTATTATACAATGTCTTCTTTATGCATGTTATGATCCTGTGTTATTATATTCATTACTTAAATATATAAAAATTATTTAATGTACTAGTACCATCATTATAAAAAATAGTGGGCATAAAATTCATCAGCAACAGAGAGCAAAAAAATATAAAGAGGTCAAAAATAAGTATCATATTTCTAGTTTTTCATGTATATCTTTTATTTATTGTTATAAAGTAATTTAAATGTAAAAAATTAGAAACTTATTAGGTTACATAAGGTTAAATTAGGTACGACAAATAAGAAAAATAATAAGTAGAAACAGATGTAGACTGTTAGAAGCTTTAAGCTATTTAGGATAAAGTTGTAGTTTTTGATTACAATCAGTTGTCATTCTAGAAAGGAAAAGAGGGTAGATTTATTTTCTTATTTTTTTTTTATGGTGGTTATAAGGTCAGTCAAATTGTTCGAGTTTGTATAGAATTAGAGTAGAGAAAAATAACAGATAAAATGTAAAAAGCACTGATATCAAAATAATATAGAATCAATGTTCTATTTATAAATAACAATTTAATTCTCATTAAGAAATCATAAATATTAAAATAACAATTTGAATTTACAAAAGACGTTACTTACTAATGTCAAAATCAAATATGTGCGAGTCCTACTACGTGTAAAGATAGAGTAAGTTAGTAAGAAATTAAACTTTTCTCTTAATATATTTGCTATATGTTATCTTACATTAACAATAGCATACAAGCGACAAATTGAAATATTTTGGGAGTTTAACTTCATATATAAGAGTTTATTAATGTACTACACATTTATCGATGATCTATGTATCATACTTCCAAAAGCTATAACAAGAATTGCTTGGAAAACTATAAAGTGAAACTGGGAAAGTAGGAAGGTCCATCTACAAAAAGTTTATGCTCAGAGGGGTCAGATGAGTAACTAAAACTATATATTTTTTAACTTTACATCTTACCACTAATAATTTAAATATTATGAATTACATAAACCTTAAGGTGAAAACAAACTGTAAACTACACTCCTATTACTTTTCTTACCTTTCAACATGATTTGAAGATATTACAAATTAATAACTCTCAAAATGTACCCATCTTGCTTATTTTTTACACTTGTCATTTAATTAAAAGCTGATTATGAATTATCAAATATAAATACAACTTATGAAAAGAATATATCAAGTGAACCAATACTTACAATCTTGTATTTTTGGTTTTGTTAACAATTACAGCAGTTCCATTCTGATCAACATTGTGATCAAGACCAAAAAATGCCGCCACCCTGTGGACAAGCATGCGATGATAAGAGCTCATCTGGGGGAACTTGTGAGATTGCCGCCTGGAAAATTATCACAAGACAGAAACTGACATTAATTGCATTTTCAAGATGCATCTTTGCTACTTTTGGCACATAAAATCTTATACACATCTTATACAATATATATTTACCTAAGAAGCAAGGGTCACAGTTCATTAAATAATCTATATTACATAAACATGTACTTGGGAATTTTGTACTACACTGTAGTGTGTATTGAATGATAACACAGCTATTCAATTACATCTCAATTATTACACACACATAGATAATTTTATATTAAACAATTATTTGACAAGCCTGCTTATAACTGGCAAACTGTTGGAGCAGTTTTCATCATAATCTGGCATGTATCCTTATGACCCACTAAGGAGTAACATGTGGGGGGGGGGGTTGATAATATTTTGTTGATCTCAACCAAACTTGTCAAGCACCTTTATGGCCCAGCAGTGTGTGATGTGTAAGAAGGGAGTCATTGTTTGGATCCGACTCCTCTATGATTTCCCCATGCACTAAACGTGTATGTCATTTAGCACACCTAATATTTAATCACATAATAGAATTGTTTTAATGGACCATTTCTCACACTTAAAGAAACTCAGTTTAAGTAATCTACACAGTAACTTAAACTCTTATTTCTTGTTTGAATTTGCTGTTTTGCTGAAAACAACCTATCTGACACTTAGCATAATGTTTAGAGACAACAAGGGACCTACTGATCCACCTAGGCTGTCCCATCCTCTGAACTAAACTAAAACTATTTAATAAAAAAAACTCAAAGCCAGCCCTTATCATTTATACAGTTATCAAGATTTCTCTTAAACTCACTTAAACTTACTGCCTCCAACAACATCTGAAGGCAACCCCATTATGAAGAAGAAACAGATTTTTGATCCAAAATACTACAAAGTAACCTTTACTAAATTGCTAATTTCTTTAATATCTTGAGATACAATTTGTTTTGAGAGTTTCAAGTAAAAAGTTACTAGTCATTTTTCACCAAAGACCTTTGGCAGAACATTCCTGTGCATACCACTGTAATTCTTTGGTAGCTTATCAACACTCTCATACAAACCACTGTACTTCTTTAGTAGTTTATCAACACTCTCATACAAACCACTGTACTTCTTTAGTAGTTTATCAACACTCTCACACAAACCACTGTACTTCTTTAGTAGTTTATCAACAGTCTCACACAAACCACTGTACTTCTTTAATAGTTTATCAACACTCTCACACAAACCACTGTACTTCTTTAGTAGTTTATCAACACTCTCATACAAACCACTGTACTTCTTTAGTAGTTTATCAACACTCTCACACAAACCACTGTACTTCTTTAGTAGTTTATCAACACTCTCACACAAACCACTGTACTTCTTTAATAGTTTATCAACACTCTCACACAAACCACTGTACTTCTTTAGTAGTTTATCAACACTCTCACACAAACCACTGTACTTCTTTAGTAGTTTATCAACACTCTCATATAAACCACTGTAATTCTTTGATAGTTTATCAACACTCATACAAACCACTGTAATTCTTTGATAGTTTATCAACACTCTCATACAAACCACTGTACTTCTTTAGTAGTTTATCAACACTCATACAAGCCACTGTACTTCTTTGGTAGTTTATCAACACTCATACAAACCACTGTAATTCTTTGATAGTTTATCAACACTCTCATACAAACCACTGTACTTCTTTGGTAGTTTATCAACACTCTTACAAACCACTGTACTTCTTTGGTAGTTTATCAACACTCTTACAAACCACTGTACTTCTTTGGTAGTTTATCAACACTCTTTTCCAAATGTTTTCATAAACAAATTGTTATTACACCATTTTTTTTCAATATTTTTTCCCCACAAACACAAGTACAAAAAAGACAAGTGTACGAGTGTGTGTGTGTATCATGTTGCACCCATTAAAGAAACATAAAATACTACATACCCTGCAGAAATGTTATTTATGCTTTTAGTAAATGAGAGATTTTAGTTAGATTCTATACTTACCTATAATATTTTAACACACCTGAACTTTATACTAGAGTTGAATACATGTATTACTTGCCCTGCCACTAACAAAAGCATTAAAACTACATAAGCAGATTTAAAGCATTCAACATTCTAATGTTTGGATATTTTTTATAGATGGTATATATTTATAATTTTAAAGTATTACCATTTTAAAGTACTCTTCTTTTCATTAGGCAGCCTTACTTGTTATCTTTAATTAGGGTAATTACATCCTGCTCGATCCTCAGTAACATCATACGATCTTTCTGGTTTTTGTGTAAAGTGTCAATAATAAACTGTTGGAGGTCAATGCCAGTAGAATCTGTGTACGTCTCTGTGCTGGAATCTAAGTAAGTATAGAAAGAACACAAAAGTTTTAATAACGTTTTTGTAAAACAAGTTATAATAACTGACAAGCTGTATTCTAGGAACCAGTGCTGAAGATTACATCTCACAATGATTCACAATTAACAAAATTTTCACTTTAAAATCAGGTCAGGTTCAAAGAAATTATGTGAATATAAAGTTCTCAAGTTTAAAATATGTCTTTATGATTAAGTATATTTCATATACAGATCCTGAAAGAATAACAAGAGATCATTGAAAATCCAGTTCTACACACTTTAATGAGCATTAGCGAGGTGTTCCAAAAATAAGCGTCAGTCTTCCTCAGCCTAAATGTTTTGGTTAAATTTTTATCATTAAATTCAATTATATGAATGGGACAAATAATAGTTTTGGTTGGATATCTTACTCACCATATCCAATTAATTATTATTTTCCATTTATATGTTCTCAGTTTGAAGTTATCATCAGTATACATTTTTTGCAACATCACATAATCTTTGTTATCTTTTTTGGGGGGGGGGGCTTGGTGGAGTCCTGAGATAGCTGGGGAAATAGCATTTTCCCTACATGTAGTAATGTGATTTACCAGTCATTTTTAATCCCATAGTTTTGTCTCAGAGAGTCAAATGTGAAGAAATATGTGACACTCAAGACTGGAATGCACACCAGATCTCAGGTTACTAGAAGTAAGAAGTCATTTCATTGCATATTTTGATTTACTATCATTTAAAATACAAATAATTTTTATAATTTTCAGATGAAGAAATTATTTTATGTTTACTTCTTCAGTATATGTGTTTTTAATTTCAGTATTTTAGCTATTTCTAATGTTTTTTTGTAAACAAGAAACTTCTGCAATGGACTTTCTTCATTTAATTCTGCACACTAAAGTTACACCAGATTCAGATTGCACAGTGGATGTGTCCATACATATTAAAGAAAATGTGCCACAGGCATTTGCTACCGATTCATTATAGTATTATACTAGTACTTCATCACTGTTTTTCAAAAAATTTATAAGGATGTATACTTCTGCATGAGTGAGCAACCAATGCAGGTCCTTTAAAGGAATACAGCATGTAGCAAGGCAAGAGTATATACTTTACACCTCCAAGCCCCTCAATGAAACCAGAGATTTATTTAGACAGTGCTTCCAGCTGCTGTCACTACCACGACCACCTGTAGCATGGTGTGGCAACACAATAGTTGGGCAAGATGTTTAATTAAACTACATAATAGCAATCTGTATTACAACTAACATGGCTCCCACTCTCTTATGTTTAGAAAATACCAACAAGCACCAATCATTTGGATGATGCAATACCAATTATCTGTTGATGGAAATGCTATCCGATTATCCAATTCATCACAAAAATAATATCCAACTGCATCAGATTTCATCCTGTAGTGCAATATCCAATCCGATCGGATATTTATCCTATCTCTATACAATCATAAAGAACAGGCTGTTGTGGCTGGTGACTTTTTTTTTTACACATAATTTGGAAGGAAATATTTATGATCATAGAAACTTGTCTTTCATCTGTTATTAATTGTGGTTTATTCAGATAACTAGGTGCATTTAAGGTATCCTTACGATTATTGTGTGATCCATCATTTAATTCAGTAATAATAATAATCATAAAAACTTGTTTTCAAATTCTGAACTATCCAGTTATTTTTGTTTCGTTTTAAAAAGCAAATGATAGCTATTATTGTTTCCAATTTTAACAAAATGTTTACACTCCTCTTAAAATTTATTGCCACTAAATGATTAATAATTAAAAGAAAATGCTTCAAGAGGACGAGATTTAAATTCTTACCCCAGGAAAACATTTCAAGGAATATAGAGTTATCAGTTTTACCTTCTTGCCTCAAAGAAAAACATTTACTAAGGACAAAAAAGAACAAGATTTAATTTTTTACCTCACAAAAACAGGTTAAGAGGATACGATGCAATCACTTTAAATTCTTATTTCAAGAAAAACCTTTAAAAAGAATATAACAAGACCAGGTTTACATTCTTACTTCAGAAAAATATTTCAAAAGGATATAAAGAATGGGTTTAACTTCTTATTGCAAGAAAATGTTTGAAAAAGATAGAAAAGAATAAGATTTATTACTAACTCGTGTAAATGTTTCAACAAAATGTCTTTCACTTCTTACCTCTTGACAGACTGGAACAGCTATCCATACTACCCTGTGAACTGCCATGTTTTCCCAGGTTTTGCTGTGTGATACCAGAGCCTTTCGACTGGTAAGGAAAGAAAAGAACACTGACTTTACATTACCAAAATACCACTGGTAAAATATTTTAATCTTAACAAATTTTGGTATCAATTTACTCAAACGTGTGTAAATAAAATTTGTGTAATTAAAGATAAAACTACAGTATTTATAAAATTAGCTGATGTTACACTGTACATCATAAATTTTGCTTGTGTTTATTGTCACAATTAGTTGTACATGTGAAATCACAATCAATGTAAATTCAGGGCTAGTGCAGTGGAAGGGCCAAATAACCCTGAAACACCATTGGCCCCTTAAGCTAATGCTGTCCATTAATCTAATCTTAAATTTATTTTAAACTTGGCCCCATTTTCCTCAAAAATTAAATGACAAATTTAGCTCAAATTATTGCTAATAATCAGAAGGAATGTTTATATCACAATTTCTTGACCAGAAGAATAAGGAGTATATGCATAAAAATACATGCACACACACATACAGACACAGAAGAACATGCATAATAAACCATATCAGTGTCTATGCTGTTTATACATAAACTCAGATTAATGTAACAAATGCTGTAATGTTTTAGAATACTTTTTCTGGCCAGAATGAAGAACATAACACAATCAAAAAGCAGGTTCATTTGTTCCCGGAATCCTGAAAAAACACATCATTTGACAGTACAGAAAAATCCCTGTAAAAAAACTTACACACCATTAGAAGTATATAGGTTTATAATGTTGTTTCCTAATTTTGCTTCTTCTAGAAGCTTTTAAGCAATAGTAATGAAGCTCAATTATTTTACAATAAACTACAAAGTAAACAACACTTTTCATCTATTCCCGACACTTGTACAAATTATAAGTTTCACAAATCATTTCTTTTATTCATTTCTTCTTCTTTCACTGGATGTTTCTGCAGAATAGTAAAAACATGTCCACAGGTCAGTGCCAGTTCATGTACCAGTGATTTAAAACCACTGTATAATAGGACAGTTTGTTTGTGAATGTACACCTTATCTCTATCACTATCATAGTAAGCTATAAATATCAATATATCATATTTTCTGAGCTTCACAAACTAACATACTTAAAATTTCACAAGGAAGCTAGCAAATGCTCAATTTTGTAAAGGTCAGATGCAAATTATAGCTTACCAAAGTTAGATATTCCACTTAAATATACAATATTAAAAATGCTCTTACAGTAGATGGAACTTGTTGCCTTATATTAAAAATAATAACTTTATGGATTAACTGAAAACAAAATAAATAAACATATTTATGCAATGCAAATAAAAGTAAAGGGTGACACAGGAAATCATGACAAAGAGCCATCATGCAGAACAAACAAAAGGTTTAATCTGACTTCAATCTGAAAAGAAAAAGTGTTGTTAGAGATAAAAGGACAGATTCACCTTTATAAAAAAAAAGTTTTAATTTTACACATGTACAAAAAAATACGAGCATTTGAAAAATATCACTATCATTAAACAACTGAATGCAAATGATGTAATCAATAAAAAATTACATACCAAACCTTCCAACCTTATTCTTTATAACAAATTAAGTTGCAGTGTTAGGTTACACTAGTTATCAAAAATAAAATAAGCTTACTTAAAGCTCAGTACAAGGTTAATCCTACTATAATTTGAAAAAGATTGTTTGTTTGTGTGTGTTTGTTTATCCTCTAACTGCTCCTAAGCTTTTACATTTAGAATTTTCAAATATGGTTTAATCAACTATAAATGATTCAGGATGTGTCAAGAGGTCATTTTTCTTTTAAAATGCACAGATTTCATAGCTCCAGTGATGGCTAAATACAGATCATTCAATGGGGATGGCTACTAGAGATAGTGATGGTATTTCTCCAGTTTCCTCTTTCATTACATGGGGTATACATACAGTCTATATACTTTCAATCATTACTAGCATACTTAGGGCAAAAACAGAAATACTATTTATATTCATAACTGGTAAAACGTTAATTCTGCAACTGCAATAAAATCAATAACTGAATCGTATAAATGATTTGTTAACTTTCATGAACTTCTCACCGTGCATCGCACAGGTACATCTGCTAGTCTGTTCAATTTTACATCAATAAAACTACAATAAACTATTGATCAACTCCAATGTAAAAAAAGGAAATTTTATCTGGACATTTTTAAAAATTTTGATGTCTTTTTCCTGTATCATATTTAACCTCATATTCCAATAATGTTTTGTTTTCTCTTGTTAGTAGGTAGTTCATAACTCAGTGTTGTGTTGCTATAAAAACACTTTGCCTGGAAGAAGACACAAGCTGAAACATTGGTAAAATAAATATGTTTTTCTGACACTTAAGTCCTTTCTTAATCATATAACATTTTGTTATGTATATTTGCACAGAACTACTCAAGGGCTATCTACACTAACTGTCCTTAATTTTGAACTGATAGACTAGGAAAAAGGCAACTAGTGAACAGCACTAACTCTTGGGCGTTGTTTCCCTTCTTATATTCAAACAGCATTACATGCCAAATGTGTCTCTCATTGTGTGCCATTACTATAAGGGATTAGAGTATACTAAACTTTACACATTATATAAACGTGACATTTAGGCAGTTTGTTTAACTATTATACATGATATACGTTTTTTGGGGAGAGGGGGGGTTATGAAAGTGTTCCGAAATGCAACATTAATTTCTTGATGACCTAATATTTTAAATGAGGAATATGTAACATTGATGCTACTAATTTGTTATTCTAAAGTCTTCAGAAGAGAAGCTGTATATATGATTTTTTGTCACATCACAGAAACAGTTAATGTTAGAGAGAGAAAATGTGAGGCCAAGTTTATTCTTCTCACTGAGACTACAGGTTAACTATGAATTTAATAACTCAGTGTTGTGTCGCTATAAAAACACTAACCCAAAAGAAAGCACAAACTTGGTACTTTAGTAAAATAAACAACTTTTTCCAGAGCTTAAGTAATTTATTAATTGCAGAAAGTTTGTTTGCAAGTTTTTCATATATTCATGCAAACCTACTTGGGGCTATCGGCACTAATCATTCCTAATTTTGATCTGATAGACTAGAGGATTTGTTTTTTGTGTTTAAACACAAAGATATACAATGACTATCTGAACTGTGTCCACCACAGATATTGACATTCAATGTTTATCATGCAAGTCATCAAGCTTAATTCTAAACCATCAGGGGGGTAGACTAGTGGGAAGATGGTCAGTCGAAAGCATCCACCACCAATTCTTCGGCAATTCTTGTTAGAAAACAAATCTAGAATTTGGCCATTACCTTCATAATGAGCCCATCCACATCCCAAAACCATGGTGCTATTCTATTTTTTATATATATTCCTAGAAATAAAACTAAATAAAAAAAATGTTTTATCAGTTGATTTTATCAAAAGAACTGTAAAAGGATAGAATGATAGAGAGAAAAAGCATTGACAATCTCAGTAAAATTTTATGTATTAAAAGTAATGTCAAACACAGTATAGATATTTTATTTTAGCAGCATTTAATTCATGCTATATCAAGCTTTACTATATACAAGTTTGCTTTGGATTAGTGTCTAGGTTAATTAATATCAACTGAAGTCAATCCACTCCCATTACAGATTAAAAACCTATAAATGAAAATGTTAAACAAACATACAAGATCAACAATGCTCACATGCATGCAGAAATGCAAAAAGAATAGAGAAACAGCAGGTGCATTAACTATGGTTTCAAGCATGAAGAAAGGCAAGAAGACAGACCTGTGTAGTAAGAGTTGAAGCATTGGTCACAGTCAACATATTGCTGTTAGCCGACAATGCCTCCGCATCTGGAGGTGGCGAGGTATCATCACGAAGAGCCTGACTACGTACCAACAACTTGACTCGGTGATGAGCCTGGTACAGGTGCATTTACATAAAGAAGCTTAGTTTAAGCTGATCACATTCCCTTGCTGATACTATTCTATTTGTAATTCCTTAATTACATGTGATATCAGCTGAAAATACCTTTTATCATCATTTTCATATCAGAAACACAAATCAATACACTCAAATGAACTTACATATATACTTTTGTTTTGGTGGCATTATAAAATGTCATCACAACTTGAAACATATTTTTCAAAACATGAGGTTAGGATCATGACTAAGTTCTATATATACCACAAAATAAAAACAGATACAACAACTGTACAGTGTGTGTGTGTGTGTGTGTGTGTGTGTGTGTGTGTGTGTGTGTGTGTGTAAGGTAAGAATGTAAAACTAAGAAATGCAATTTAACAGCAGTCAAGAAGTAGTAGATTAACTACATGTACCTGCTCTAAGACCACTGGCAAAGTATTTAGTCCAACCTTCTAACGTACCTTAGAAAAATTGCTACTAAGCTTATCTTTACCTCATGTACTGAACTTAAATCCATTTTGTCCATCTAGCCACACGTATGTACAACTAAGTCCACACATTTTGGCCACTGGAAACTCAATAATATGACCAAATAAAATATTTCACTGACAGCAACATGATTTTCGCATTGAGTCCCAACAGTACACATAATTACAGAGCCACAATACGAGTACAAAAAGAAATCTTCATGGCATGACAAAACAACATTCCTTTCTTCACCAAGCACATAGAATAAGAGATTACACGTAATTTAATCCAGTTTTCTGGCCAGACTTTTATGAGTTATATGTGAAATTCTATTTAAAAATGAATTATCTTGTGACATAAAATATGAAGAATAAAAAAGATTAAACAGTTGCAAACATGAAAGAAACAACAAACATGCGTATTCTTTGAGTCTTTAAAGATTTCAAAATTAAATTCATAAATATGAAAAACAAACAGGAGTTTATGAAACAGTTAAAGATAAAAACTATAGATTTGAAAAAATTATGGATTTTTTGAGACAGTTATAGAATATATATATAAATCAAAAACTAACCAAATGAACAATACAACAAACAATTTTTTTGTTGTTAGGTTTCAAGAGTCCATTTATGAGCAGTTTGTTTGGCTTGTCAAACATTCCACTGTAACTTCACTAAGTTTACAGTTTCATACAATAAGCATATCGGAAAACACAAAGAAGTATCATTAAGGTTTTGTTCCAAATGGTTATTTAATAAAGCCTTTTTTTATCTACAATGTTCCTTCATTCTCTGCTGAGCAGATAATGTTGAAGTTTTTATCACTAGGTGTCTCAATACATGTTTTTGAAGCATAGATAAATGCTCAAATGATTTCTGTTGTTCGGTTTGAGGAGTTCTTTGATTTGAGCCACTAGGTGGCATGCCATGGAACTAATATAAACCTGCTTACAATGGTAAATTTGTAAAAACTTTTAATGCATAATTGAGGTTTAACAATAAAATTTATCAAAATTTTTGGATTTGTAGATTTCAAAATGTTAAACATATTTTTTCTTTATTTTAAAACTTAAAGAACCCATAAATGGTAAGATTATTGTTAGAGGTAATTTAGGTACATCAGACATCGGTACTTGGCTGGTCTTCACTTTTTTTTTTGTAGGTATTCCTTCTTAATTCTGCTTATAGGTTTCAGAAAAAAAAGATTCTTCTTGAGATAATTCTTGATGTTATCAAGATCTACACAAAACACCAGTTTTGTACTAGTTATTTTAAAGGCTCTATGAACCAATACGAAAATTAAATTCTTATTGAAAACAGAAGGTGTGAAAAGTCTATAGTTAAAATATAAATCTGAAAAAGCTGGTTTATGATAATAGGACACCAATAACTTTGTCTCATGATTAAAATCTTAAGGTCTAAGAATGGTAATACAGAATCTTTTTTTTTCTTCAACAGTAAAGTTAATATTTTGATGCCTTCCACTTAGATAAAATATAAACTTCTGTTTGAAGAGTATAAATACATCTTCAACATATATTTTAAATAGAACTGGCTTAAAATCATCTGGATGTTGCTGTAAATAGACCCCATTGCTATACAATGTAGTTGGTCATAAAATTTTCCTTGAAACAGAAAATGTGATTATTCTGTTGCAAAACAAAGCAATTTCAAAACATTATCTTTAGTTAACACATTTACAACTTCAGAAATATCAATTATCAAGTTAGCACATAACTCAATTACTTATTTTAATTGGACACTAGTGTATAATGATTCTGTCCCAAAACTTGCACTGTATATACTGGTTCAAAAAAATTTAGATTTCTGTAATATTCAGAGAAGTCAAAATTATCTCTGAGTATTCATTAGTGGTAATGGCTTTATAGAATCATCCAAAAAAACTGCTACTTTATATGCACCTAGATTAGATACAATAGGTTGAATGGAACAATCACTAACTCTTTCAGCAAGGGGTTGGTCCCTGGGACCGACCTTGTAACCATTTGGTGCTTGTTATAGTTTTCATGCTATAACTTTTAAATTAGTAAGTGTATGTTAACGAAACTTGGCAGATTATCAGTAAACATTACGATGCTTTCATATGCAAAATATCAAATTTTTTTTTATTAAGTCTTAAGGTTTGTAAAGCAATGTTTTTCTCATGCCTCTTTTATTTTCACATGTTGCCAATCCAACATGCAAAGTAATTTTAATTTTAAGATAAAAAATACTTTTGTGCATCAGGAAATTTTCAACTTTCACATGCAAAATCTTTATAATGTCCAGATAGTTATTAAACATTTCTTAAGAAAAACTATATATTTTATCTGTTATTTTCAGTAATGAATCTCTGTACGAGTTTGGTTGATTTGACTGATCTTGTAACCATCTTAAAAAAATTAGGAAATAAATATAAATTATGCCTTTTTTGTTCTAGAATGACTACAACTTATAACACAAAAACATAAATGTTTAGACTAAATAGTTTAAATCTCATAATATTATACATTTATATTTATATATTATGTTTATTATATTGACCTTTCAGCCATGCCTGGTTAACAAAACATAAGTTACAATGACACGGCACAAGTGCCCTCATGTTACTGTATCCAATAATATAAAACTGACTTTTAGTCTTTACAAAGTGACCTGTCTTGGCTGTGTTTTAGTAGGCTAGTATTTTGTAAAATACAGTCACATTTTAATTATTATACATTATATATGTATATAGATTACTGCTATTTAGAAATAGGTTATTAAACGTATTTTTCTTAGAACATAGAACAGTAAATAAAGGAGTAAAGTAAACAATTATCTCTTCTAGTTATGACCTTTGTACTCAGTTGCTGCTTGAGGAAGGTTGCTAAGCCTTTCAAAATTTTGCATTTGGAGGATACGAAAATTATTTTTTTTTTTTTAAGTTTTATATATACAGTTGAATAACCAAAAAATCATAAATTATTATATCAGTACCACAGAATTGCACTATAACTTATCAAGCTTAGTAACTAAGCTGTATTTCAATCTAAAAAAATATGAAATTTGGAGCAGACTAAAGACACAACCTACCTCCTTGAAATCTTGGTTCAAAAGAAAGAGATGGAATCCAAACACACATCTGGCAAAGGGTTAATGAATTTTAGACATTCCATAAAGAATACAGTATTGTGAACCTGTAAGTCTCATGTCATGGTAAACCTCTTCGGAAATGACATCACTGTCTTAAAATTGTAGGTATTCTTTGAACTCTAATGTGGAGATTTGTATAGTAAGAAGAAAAATTTTTAAATGTTAAACTAGTTATAAGTCCATGTAACAAATGAAAACAATTTTGCTGTCAAAAATATACTTTAGAATTACTGCTTAAACACAAAAAGAATGAATAAATACCATAAAAATCTTGAAAAGGGAATAAAACTTTATAAGAGGAAAACAAGACAAGTGAACTTACCCTGGATTGAGCCTTCTTTTCTTTTCCCATGTATCCAGATACAGGTGATTGTCTTGAGCCTGGTCCAGGTGAGCTGTGCGTTCGAGAAGAAACATCTCCATCACTTCCAATACCATCATCACCTTCATCCTCCCCTCCTCCATCTGAATTGTCTTCCTGATCCTCTTTTCCTCCTCCTCTGTCTTCAATATGAATTGTTACTGGAACAGGATTGATACAACCTTCATCTTCTTCCAGTTCAATTTCTTCCTGTTTGGCCAAACGAGGGGTCCTAGCCCCTGGTCGTTTCTCCATCGTTCGTTTATCAAAATTGTTAACTGTTTCTATGACTAATGGTAATGATTGGAGATATGAGCTGTAAACTGAGTAAAAGTTCTTTTTTTATCAAATATTGTAAAAATATATAAAGATATGAAACTTCAATCAAAAGAAGAATTATGCACTCTGTAGGCTACAACACAGCATGACATATGAGCTTCAAAAGCAAGAAATACAAATATTTGTTAATCTTACTTTTGGTTTTGTTTACTCTTGAAACAGAACACTTTCGAGGATCCTGTGGAAGTACATCTGGTATATAGACACAGGTTCTGAATGATTCCTTAAATGTTCTTGCCAATTTTCATGTAAATTCATACAGCCAACCCTGAGAGCCTCCAAAAATCCCTTGACCCCATTTGAGAAGTGGTTATTATAAAACTTCAAAAATCTAATGGTACACACGTATTTGAATTATCACTTACCTGTCCAATGTCAATGAATGTTTAACACACATCCATAAATCCAGTCTTAAGAACACCAAAACTCTTTGATCCACCAAATGGGAAACACATTTGAAAATTTCTTTATTAGTTTATAGTTTCCAGTGGCTCTATTCATGTTAATATCAATTTTCAAATATATACTGATTCACTCAAACATGAGAGCCAAGAAGAAAAAAATTCCCTTAACTCTCTCCCCTTTATTGGGACCCCTCACAAATCTCTAAGAATTTGTTTTCATTTTAGTACTAGTGAAAGTACTGAACTTCGCTCAGGTTATTATGTTGATATATTCTGGATGACTATGTCAGTGTGTGTAATCTGAACCTATTTTAGCAAGGGGATCATGAAATCTTGCAAGTGTAGTGAATGTTAGTACAATTTAAAGAAATAAAGTAAAGGCATAGTGTGCGATAACCTAGACTAGATGAATTCAAATTCAATGACGAGGAGCCCACTTTGAGACTAATAACATTTGGAAACGGCTTGAATGGGTAATGAAGAAAAACTTTAATAGAAGTTTAACAAAACATAAAATGTACAACGTTTCGACAAGGTTTTGTCATCATGTCGATACATTGTACATTTGCTGTTTTGTTAAACTTATATTAAAGTTTGTCTTCATTACCCATTCAAGCCATCTCCAAGCATTATTAACCTAGCCTAGAGCCAAGTGCATAAAATTTATCATGAAAGTAAAAATATCGATCCAAATTTAAACTTAAATTGTTTCTGAATTAAAGTATTCTCTATTATATAACCAACGTTTTTAATAATAAAAAAACTCTTTAATCAACAGAGACTAAATTAAGAAATCAACAAATATTTTGTCAATTTTGTAGTTTATACATTTCATTTTATACTTTCAGTACATAGACTAACAACAATATTAGGTTATAAGTTTGTTACTAAGCAAGATGACATAAAACCCATTGTTGAAACACATTGTTATCAAAATGCACTGACTTTTCTATACATATTAGAAGTTATATAAGGAACCTCTTCTTTTCTATGTGGTTTTTTGTTAGCTTGTCTCATTAAAAGGATGAGCATGCACATGTGTGCACACATGTGGATAAGTAATAAAACCCAGGTACACACCCTCAAGGTCCACTTAGTAATGGATGCAAAATTTCAGGTTTCTCGGTTCCTTCCTCTTGGAGCTATGGCACTCACACACATACAAACATCCTTTTATTATTATAGACATATTCTGTAAGGATAAATAAATTAAAATACAAAATTTCAAGTCATTTTGTCAGAAATTATGGGAGGTGTTCAGAAATCAAGTAAAACATAGATGCATACATACAATTAAGAATTATTATAGAGACTAGCAAATGTACATACACCTCACTTGGCAGTTATTTAGTTATTCTGTTGAAATGAAGGGGAGAATGTGTGTGTGTCTGTTGCCATGCACACACCAAGCAAACAGACAACTATGCTTTGTGTGTGTGTGTGCACACACACAAGAATTTATCCTGCTAAATTACATTATTTTCACACCTTATACATATAAACCATACTGATTTTCAAACTCACCTTTTCCATCATGACTTGAAAGGGAAATTAGCTCATAAACCTCTTAATGATTTACAATAGCAAGGCACACAGTCACTAGTCTAAATCCTCTTCCACTTATAACCTGGTATTTTAACAGAACTTGATCCTGTAGGTGTACAACAATTTCATTAAGAACTCATTTTAACCTTTAAACATACACAGTTTGATTTCTACAATATTCCTACATATATCACTAAATATAAATTATCACCACCATAATTTTGATCATGAAGAGAAAAATATTACATTTCATACACACCAAACGCTAACAAGTTTATCCTAAGAATAAGTTACCTGGATTTTGGAGACTTTTCCCAATGTTTTTGGCATAATCATGCTTGCTGAGTAAAATAATTAAAAAATAAAATAAATTCAAACCCGCCATCCACAAAGATCGGAAATGTTTTATAAACATACCTGAAAAATTCTAATTTTCAACACTATACCAATAGAGAACAAGTATGCTTTATATTCCTAAAAACTTCTAATGTTCATCCTTTTACCACTGGGTAACTATTGTACTTTACATTCCTAAAAGTTACTAGCGTTTATCGCTGTACCACTGGAAACAAGTATGCTTTGAATTCCTAAAAGTTACTAGTGTTCATCACTCTACCAATGGAAAACAAGTATGCCTTATATTCCTAAAAGTTACTAGTGTTCATCACTGTACCAATGGGAACAAGTATGCTTTATATTCCTAAAAGTTACTAATGTTTATTGCTGTACCACTGGGGAACTAGTATACTTTAAATTCTCCAATATTAATGGTGTTCATTACTGTACCAATGAGGAGGTAATATACTATATATTCCTAAAAGTTACTTGTGTTCATCACTGTACCAATGGAGAACAAGTATTTTTTATATTCCTAAAAGTCACTACTGTTGATCACTTTACCAATGGAGAACAAGTATGCTTTATATTCCTAAAAGTTTCTAATGTTCATCAATTTACCACTGGGTAACTATTGTACTTTACATTCCTAAAAGTTACTAGTGTTCATCACTGCATCAATGGGAACAAGTATACTTTAAATTCCCAAAAGTACTGTACAGACCTTATAAATTTTATATCTTATGTACAAATTCTCACCAAAACATTATTAAGCAAGCCAAGCTATTCATTTAGGTTTAAAAAAACAATTCAAAACTAAATTTTAAATATTTCTCAATACATGTGGATGTCTATTTGGAACCCGTGAATGGTAATCTCTATCAATATGTGTGTTATACATATTTTGTCTTCTTTGTACAATGAGCATCTCTACTGATAAACCACCTAGGGATTTGCTGAAACCTAAACAAGTGTGAGAGCTTGCATGCATGCACACATACAAACAAGTTTATAAATATACATTCACAGACAAATTCATACACAGCTCACAAATATATATTTATCATTTTTAAGGCTAGAGAATCAGCTTAAAGTGGGGGAACAAGAGAAACACAAAGGAAATACACTGACTATGAGAAACAGTAGATGACTACACTCTTGCTTCTTCAGCACATGTGTTGTTACATACATCAAGAACTAAAAGTGAAAGTAGGCAACTGACAAAAATAGGTCAGGTCAAGAATAGATGTCTATAAATAGCATTAATAGAGGGGAACAAATTACACAGACCAACTTCAAGCAAACAAGGAATCCATTTACTGAATATGTACATACTCTTAAATGTTTTTCATACTTTGCAAGGTTCTGCAGTAACACTGAACTGGAATGAAAAGCTCATCAACAACAGTTCTGTAACAAACAATGTACATTTTCTATTACATTTTATTTTGAATTTATTTTCAAATGCCAAAATAACTTTTCCAAAAGTTCTCCAATGACAACAAAAAGCCTCTGCTTGAAGTCAACATGCACTTGAAATTCCTTATAAATATGAACAATATGACTCAACTTTTAAACAACAACTTGAAGTTATCAACTACCTTTGGGGCTAGGATAAAATACTGAATTCATTCTTTCTTTTATAAACCAGAAAGAGAGAGAGGCATTATCCCTTCACAACATATACATAACCCAATAAATAGATATCAGTTCCATGTAATTTTCTAGTCAGTAAAAACAGGAGTACCAGATTATTCTGAACTGATTGGCAAAGTGTTATACAACAAAATCAATAAATGGTAGAGTAAATGCTATTGAAAGGTTATAACAGGGATTGTAATTTGTAATTTCTTCTATACACAAATAAAATATAAAAACATGTATCCATACTGTTGACAGATCCTAAACAGTTTTAATTTAAAAATCAATAATCAGAATAAGTGAGTACAAGTTACAGTTACTAAAAAAAAAAACTGTTTTATTATTTTCAAATATCATTTTCAAAATGTCATTCAAAGTTTTGAAACTTTTAACTTGCAAGATATTTAAATTATTACACAATATTAAATGCTTCAAATATTTGCTGTGTCAACAGTTACAGAACTGCAACAAAGTAAGCACTTAATCTAATCTGAAATCTATCCAAAAAAATAACTGTTATAATTGTGTACGGTACGTACGTGAATCATAAAAATATAAAATCCCAGATCAGTGTTTCTGAACTCATAAAAATATATTTTTCATAAAGCACTTTGTAAATTTTACATACAAACCTAAAGTTTGTAGTAATTTATTTTAATTAGTCTTAAGTTATGATCAGAGTAAGCTATGTACTTAGAGTAAATAAAACCAACTTGGCGCTCAGTACAGTTAATTAAATATATTAGTAGATTGTGCTCCTACCCACCCAACAGTATACTGTGCTCCAATGTCAGACAATGTATTGCTCTCCTACTCCATACAGGGATACTGCATTAATAAAATGTTTAAGGGCCTGACAGTTAACTTAGATTTATAACTAAGAACCAGAGTGCACTACTCGTTAAGGCTCAATGTTTTTTTTTTGTTTTGATAATATTACTAATAATTATGACTGCATGATTTATAAGTTTTCCCACTGAACCTATATAGCCATATTACACAAATGAAGGACTTGAATCATTTCAAAGCTTAGACTAAAACTCAGTCACTGCATGCTAAATCTTTGTACTTGTGAAGTTTGCCATTATTAATACCAAGTTAGAAAATACTCTCATTAAATGTACAACACGACAAAACTCTACATCACATTACTTTCCATAAAACCAAAACATCAAGTAAAAACTGAGTCATACCTTCTGCATTACATGTACTGTATGAGATCATGGGAAATTTCCAATTGCTACTTGATGTTCATTTGTTCAACAGCCCAACTGCACAGGTAGAGGTTAATACTCAACACATATGCACAATATTTTCTGTCCCAAGGACAGTCATGTGGCCTTTATACCTTGTAATTCTTGTTAAGATTTTTTAATCTTAGAAACAATGATTGTGTTTCCCGCAATATCTAAATAGGTGCACATGTGGTGGCACACTAAAAGATAAGTGCAAGGTGTCAGCACACACACACCCATATTTTTACTTTTCATTTAAAAATATCAGCTGAAAGTGTTTGCTCAATTTCACAACAGTTTTCTGTCTACACACTCATGATATATTTAGAAACGTAAAATAAATAAATACACAAATTGGAATTTCCAACATGATACTACTAGCTTATGAACTTAGTTATCACAAGAGAGCAACTGTGTGAACATCAAAGAGTTCCTCAATTCATTACCAGGTGATGCAATAGTCAGAAGTCTCATGAAATAAGCACTACTGAGATGGGGAGGAGATAATTAAAAAAATCAGAAAGATGCCAATACTTTCCCTAACTCATCAGGTTTTTTGAGATATAACTTAAGTTAATTATAGCATGTATTAACAATTATTACTACACATGTAATAGCAGAACATACTTTAAATACAGATCCACCCCGGTACCTCATAACTATTGGTGTAAACTTTCCCTCGCTACTGACCCATAAATACACTAAAGTTGGAAATACAAAAAAAAGAAGGTTTCTTAATAAATTATACAAGTCTCCCTATACTCTCATCATATGCAAGTAGAAATATCTTTAATAAAAAAAAAAGAATATCTAATTATTGGGGGAAAGATTCACATAGAAACACAGTACCTATAAAGATCCTTCTCAAGAATTTCAGGACACATCTGTTCAATCATTTTCCAAGGCCAACATAATTAATGTGAATTTTTTGGACTATGTATAGGTGTGCCAGTTTCCTCTTTCACTTTAATTATAATGTTTTATGATTCCTCTCATGAACATCCTGGAACTAAGATATTTGAATTAAAAACCTAATGTGATCACATCTCTTTGAGAAACAACTGATTTTATAAATGGATGTATGGGATAGGAAATATGAAACACAAAATTATTTGATAAAATTGATGTTGTGTTTTACTTGTGTAAATGCAAGCTAAAAAGAGAAAACTTAGTTCCTAATCAATGACTCTACTTTCCACATACTTTAAAAAAAATATTTCAAACATCTGTTCAATTAAAAGTTACTAAAATTTAAGAACAAATATATTTACATATTAAATTTTTTTGATAAAGCCACAGCATTTTAGAGTAACATGTATTAAAGGTCCTTTATATATATTTATTTATTTAACATTATTTTTGATTTTTACTTTCAACTCACTTTTTCCTATGTTAAATGCACATTTTTCTAATAAAACAACTCATGCTAATGCATAACTTTACAGAATTCCTTAATACAAAAGTTGATCTTTAACGTGAACTTTTGGTCACCACAGCTTATCACTAACGTTTCAAAACAATACCTACCTTATGAATATTGATATAATTTCTAATAAATAATAAGTACAGAATTTGAATAAAAGATTTAACAAGAGGAAATGAAAAGTATGTAGCGCAAATTAAATAGTTAGATTAAAATAGATTTAAATCAATCGAAGAATGTGTATTATTTAGTCTCTAAATAAGTTTTTTTTTTATGAATAACGTTTTTTCTTATTAGAAGTTCAGTATCACACTTGGCTGTTGAGAGAATTTTAAAGTTGCGGAAAGATATTGTATGGCTTGTTTCTGTATTGTGTTGGTAGATAGCAGAGTTGGGAGGGTTTGTAATTTTTCTTCCAGTTTTTGTAGATGTCTATCTACCAACACAATACAGAAAAAGGGCATCCGATTA